AAAGAAAATTTCAATTTTTACTATGTTTTATTAATAAATTTGAACACGTGATTCCATAATTATGTTAGCCACTGTATTAAAAATTGATATTTGAATTATAAGTTTTGATAATTTAGTAATCTGATCTTTTATGTGAATATAATTATTATTATTATTATTTTGAAATATTTTTATATACAAAAGTTCAAAATAATAATATTTACAAATTTTATTTAATTTTAATTAATATTAAATGAGAAATAATATTTTTTAGGCTAATCTGAAATATTTTAGATCAAATTTGATTTTAATTTAATTTGATTCAATTCAATTAGAACATTAAATATTATCATAATATGATATTTAATAAATAATTCTATTGAATAATAAAAATATTAATTATTATTGAATTATATTTATTAGTATTTTTATTGGATAATTATTTTTAGATAGCTATTATTTTATTGGATAATTATATGCTAGATGTTATTGATTATTAGATTATATTAATACTAACAATATCAGCAATACCAGCAACACTAGTAATACTTATGTTAATGATAACAATGATATTAATACTTGTATTAATATCAAAAATGCTGATAATACTTATATTTAATTAAATTAGTAATAATAACAATAGAACCAGTTATATTGTATAACATGTAATTTATATAAATATATTATATATCTTAGTTTAGAAAAAGTAGTTAATAATAAAAAAAGTCTCTTATTTGATAGAAATTTCAAATAACTTGTAAAGTTATATTTATATTGATTTTTGATTTTGAAAGATAAATTGCTTATAATAAACTATTATTATTGATTTAAAAAACAATCACTTAATAAATTTATTATTTGTATTGTCACTATGTGATATTTTAGCACCTGATATGAAATATATTATTTTATGTATATTTCTATTGGATAGTTAGTAAATATATGATCTATAAATTACAATTTCTTTTTAGTTCATACTATTTATTTTATATTTTATACTATCTATTCTTATTTCATTTTATTTTTAATATATTTTATATTATTTTAAATATAGTTCATACTTTTCATTTTATATTTCATATTATTTTATTTATTTTATATTATTTATTCTACTTTAAATATATTTTATTCTATTTGTATTTAATTCTTATTATTTTTATATTATTATTATTAGTATAAAAAATACATATTAATCAATCTTTAAAGATCAAATTAGCTTAATAGTAATTCATAATAATTAGTTATACTTAAATGAAAGATGTAAAATATTGAGACAAGCATCACAAAATAATTTATAAAATGAATTAAGTCTCATTTTAAATAGAATAGATTAGTTATAGATTGAAAAGATTAAGTAATGAATAATTATTATAAATATAGCATATATTTTAGCTAGAAAGATAAATAATTTTTGATTAACTTAGTGTTAATAAAATTTCTTTGCTTTTATTCTTTAATAAATATAATAACTGACTTACTATATGTTTATCAAAAGAATTGATTATTTTGTATTTTCTTTTCTTGAATAATAATAAAGATTCTTGATAAATTTAGATTGCTTTTTGATAAATTTAGATTGCTTTTTGGTAAAGTAATACTTATATATTAAAAAACTTTGTATTTTATTTTTTATAAATTCTTTTATAATTCTTTTATAACTCTTTGAGTTCTTGATGAACTTGCTTCTATTTCTTAAAATTTATATTATTCTTAAAGTTCTTAGTGAACTTATTAGATTTTTTGTGAATTATTTAGCACTTTGACTAATATATAATAGTATTAGAAGATTATTTCATACTTTATTTATTCTTTTATGCTTTTTCACATGAATATAGTCATTACTTATTATATAATAAAGACTTTTATCTGTAAAGACTACTAATAGTAATAGTATTATAACTTTTAAAGTTCTAAATAAATATGTAAAATTTAGTAAAGTTATTGAATATTATCTAGTTCATCACAATACAAATATATATTATTTTCTTTTAATAATAGTTTTTAGTCTTTTTCATCTTTTAGTTAATAAAAATATATGATTAACACATTAAGAATCTAAAATCTATAATAATAATAATAATATAATATAATATTTATTTATAATAATAATATTTCTTTTATATAATAATAGTATTTGACAAAAAATAATAATTATTATGAATTTAATTAATTTTTATTTAAATATTTTAATTAATTTTTTATTATAAATTAGATTTATATTATATATATATATATCTCTTTCTATATTATATTACTAAAAATTGAAAAAAAATATAATAAAATTAATATTGTTTCTTTATATTAAAATTTGTTATTTTATTAATAAATATTTTTTTTTACTAATAACTTATATTTTTAATATATAATCAAATCTAGTAGTTAATAGTTTCCTGGAAACTATTAACTACTTAGATTATACTATAATATATTCAGGTATGTGTCATGGGTTGTGAAATATAACACAGATTAGGGTGTCGTGATCCAAATTTTGTGACATGTGAGAGATATATACTCCATACCTGAATGGATGTCATGATCCAAATTTTTTGATACATGGGAGGTATATATCCCATACCCGAATTAGTGTCATATTTTGTATGTCACGACACATGTGACATATCATATACTGGTTTCTCGATTGAGATCAATTTCCGTTGCTAGGATACACGTAAACTATCGAATGCCAGTTTGGAAATCGTGACCGATTTCTGTCATGGGTAAAAAAAATATATCCAACGATGCATTCAGTCATGTGCCGTTATTTGTGGGCCCGATGTGAGGGCTATGTTCGAACCTGGCACGTAGTGCCTTAGCTTTCTGACCAATTCCTCTATGTGGACCAGGTTTGAGACACCTAGTGCTGAAATAGTATTCGTATCCTGGCTTTGTGAGATGTGTTCGAATGCTGATTGAGGATGAGGCACGTAGTGCTGAATGTTATCTGTCATATTGCACTCGAGTATCGATCAAGGATGAGGCACATAGTGCCAAATTGTTAGCAGTTGTTAGCTTTGTATAATTCATTCGAATATCACCCGATGATGAGGCACGTAGTGCCGAATTGTTATCCTATCTGCTGATATCCCAAAGCATAATTTTATATATTATATATCTTTCTGTAATAATTATACTTTGGGGTATCACTTTTTTTTGATATCTATTTGTATGTAATCCCAAAGCACAATTTATATATTATATATCTTTCTGTCATAATTATATCTTGGGGTATCACTTTTTTCAGCCTTTATCTAGCATATACCGATACCTAAATCCTACTTTTTATATATTTCGAGATATCACTATATCAAAAACTTTGGGATAATATTTTTTTGATATCTAAATCATACTTTTTATATGATATTATATATTTCAAGATATCACTATATCAAAAACTTTGGGATAACATTTTTTTGAAAACTTTGTAATAACACTATATCAAAAACTTTGGGATAACATTTTTTCGATACTTAAATCATATCTATCTGCCAAAACATCAAATTTGTAACGTAATCACTTACCCAAAACTGCACCTCAATCAAAAATGTACAACACAAAAATAGTTATCGATTATCTCATATATTAACCTGAAATTATATGCAAATTATATTATGTAACGTGATCACTTACCTTATCTCATATACCGGAAGCATTCACATAGAAATTCCAATAGGCAGGCATGTGAATTGGATAACAGCGACCCAAAAACCCTCTTTGATAAATATCTGGTCATCCAAATCCTATCATCCAAAATCGGACAACACAAAAATGGTCATCAATTAATTTACCTTACCTCCTATATTGGAAGCACTTATCTAGAACTTTATTTCGATCAAAATTCCACAGCACAAAAACCTGAACCTCCAAGGTTCAATCTGGGTTATTATAAACCAAACTTTTTATATGTTATATCCCAACAGCCTGCCATCTTAAATTGGATGACACAAAAATCTAGGTATTTAAAGTTAATCAAATTAATATTAGCTTATTATGGAAGAAATTTCTCAAGAAATATATATACCCGTACGTGGTTCTCCAGAAATAAAACAAGTTAATATTAAAAAAGGAGATATTAGTAAAATACTACAAAGTGATTATAATGATCACGTAACAATTTTTGAACCAAAAGGTTTTCATTTGATTTTATTTTGTGATGATGACGATCAGAATAAAAAACTGCCTGTAAATCCATTAGCAACTCGTTTAATAAATCAACGAACAGGACGAGATAATATTCTCATCCCAGGATCTGCTTTATTGTTAGATGATTATAAAAAATTAACTCTTGACGATTTGCGCTTTTTGTTGAAAGAACCATTTGATATAGAGGAGGAAAAAATAGCTGTAAAAAAGATGAATGATGTGCTTAAAGATCTAAAATCGCGTGGTGTAAAACACTCTATAATATTTACCTAAGTTTTATTTCTACATAAAAATATGATGAGATACTTCCTTACAACTGCAACAAATATTAGACATGGTTAAAAAGGTATTATATTTTTTCTGTATATACATAATATCCAAGTTCAAATAGATAATATAATACCCAGCTACCTGACCCAAGCATCTCACAACCGATCACTTTTCCTCTCCAATTCCCATGTGCGTCAGATAAATACGAACCAGATAATGGTGACTGCTAACAAGATAGGTAAAGCATATGAAATCGATAGTGACAATATAGTACTTGCCATAGCGGGAATTACTTCCATCTCTCCCATTGAAATCTGTGGATGTGGTTCAATCAAAGAGGGTGTATGCTTTTTCTGATGTGCAAGGTGTGGAATCACATTTTTTATTTCTTGAGATTGGGGTATAATATTCTCACTAATTTTATTAATGTTAGTTCCCTCATTTATCTTAGGGCTGATTTCAGTATCGACTTTTGATGATTCGGTAATTTCATCATTAGTGGAACAAGTACCAAAGGTGTTAGTTTGTATCGAAATATCATTATCGATTCTTTCAGCTTCTTCTATATTTTTTCTGTGTACAAAATATTCACTAAGATTTTTATTAGGAATACTAGATGCAGAGATAATGCTAGAATTCGATATATTTTTTTCATCACCCCTCTCAATTACAGGTTTTGATATATCCTTCGATTTTAGATGCTCCAACTCATTAACTTTCGATTCTAATTTACTCTTTATATTTTCTAATTCAGCTATTTTAGATTTGAGGGATAGATTCTCAGATTCTTTTTCTGACGAGTCCTTCTGAATTGAAAGCGCATCTTTCTGTGCCGATGCCAACTTACCTTCCAATATCTTAATCATAGACTCAAGCAATCTAATTTTTCTTGATTTTGTATTAATCTCAGCCTTGGATTCAGCAATAGAAATATCTTTCCGAGTATTCTGAGAGATAAGATTAATATTTTCATTTTGTAATTGCTTACCCTCATTAATAACTTGCAAAGTGTGGGTGCATAATTTTTGGATTTCAGTATTATTTCGTAATGAATCCTGATTCCACCTCTTTCTTTCTCGATCAAAATCCTTTACCCGCTTTGAGTATTTAGATTGTAATTCTTCATTACAGTCATTTAACTCAGATATAGACTTTAAACTGCAGTGTAAAGATTCTTCAAGTTTCTGCTCTCGCATGCTACCCAGCCTATGCCCTTTATTAATATTTCGTAGTGTACACACATTGACCATATTAAATAATAGGAAATATTATGAAATATAACAAAATATGGACTTATACATAATAAATATTATAGTAGTGTTAATAATTTCTATGATTATAGAATGATATCTAATGTTAGATATTGTTAACTATTGAAAAATATTGTTAGATATCACTGACTATTGAAAATATATAACATTTAACTACTGAAAATGCTTATAAAATGGCTATTTTTAATATCTCTCATTTATCTATAACAATAAATATTATTTTAGCATCTTGTACTAGCTTCACTAATATTCTTCATTAATATATAATAATAAATATCATTTTTTATTGTTCTAAAATATTAATAGAAAATCAAACTATGAATACCCTATATCTAAAAACTTATTATCATCGAGATTCTACATTTCTAACTTCTGAACAAATAGAAACAATTAGAACACTCAAAGGCAAGGTACCTAAATATAAAATAATAGGAGATTTCAATATTAATAAGCATAGGGTTGATGATATATGGGAAAATCATGAACGCAAATAACAGATGATATACTCTCGATCAACTCGAGCACAAAGTACTATTTCTTCTGATATATTACCTGAAAATTCCAACCAAATTGACACTACCACGCCAGCTTATGCCGAAAGAGAGATTTTACATCTGGAATCTACTACTTCCTCCGATAAAGAAATAAAAAAGAGAAGTTCCAAATCTCGGTCTAAATCTGCTCACATATCTGATCTAATACCTAGCAGTAGCTCAATATTAGTTAATAATGAAAATCCAACAGAAAAAATAAGTGGGAGCTCTAGGAATGGTGATTTTCCTATTGATATAATTAATCAGATTGAACGAGAAAATAAAAGAAAAGATAAAAACTTAGCTAATAGTACTCGCATAAAATCTACTACCTAATCTATATTTTCTTTATCTGTAACAGACTCAATAATATTTCCATATTTTGTTTGTAAAATCTCATTATAATCATTAAGTTCAGTAATGAATTTGAATGCATTGTATAGACTTTTCTCATATCTTTCACAATTTACGCATTTTTTTTTAAAGTTGAATTATCAGAATCTAGGGGCAGAGCTCTATTGCTTTGCAATAAGCTGAAATCTACAGGAGCACACCACTCATCAAATGGTATATCGTCATTCTTATTACTATCTATTTTCTGAGAAATTTGATCAGATATCAGAGGCTTATTATTCTGAGATACAGTTACACAGTTCACTTTGAGCTTGTTTTTGATTTTATGCATAGTTACCAGAATTATATACTTTTTATCATTATAGTGAATTTCCATTTTATCATTACCCCAATCTACGGTACATTTATATTTCTTGA